ACACAACCCAGAACCAGTCCTTTAAATACCATACACACACAATACACACAACCAGAACCAGTCCTTTAAATACCATACACACATATAAACACAAGAAACACAACCAGAACCAGTCCTTTAAATACCATACACACACAATACACACAACTAGAATCAGTCCTTAAAATACCATACACACATAAACACACAATAAACACACCCCGAACCAGTCCTTTCAATACCATACACACACAATTCAAACAAACAGAACCAGTTCTTAAAATACCATACACACATAAACACACAATATACACAACCAGAACCAGTCCTTTCAATACCATACACACACAATACACACAACCAGAACCAGTCCTTTAAATACCATACACACATACACACACAATATACACAACCAGAACCAGTCCTTTAAATACCACACACACACAATACACACAACCAGAACCAGTCCTTTAAATACCATACACACATACACACACAATATACACAACTAGAACCAGTCCTTTAAATACCATACACACATACACACACAATATAAACAACCGGAATCAGTTCTTTAAGTACCATACACACATAAACACACAATATACACAACCAGAACCAGTCCTTTAAATACCATACACACATACACACACAATACACACAACCAGAACCAGTCCTTTAAATACCATACACACATACACACACAATACACACAACGAGAACCAGTCCTTTAAATACCATACATACATACACACACACCCCGAACAAGTTATTTAAATACCAGTCAAAAACATAAACATATACACTACAAGAAACACAACCAAAACAAACCCTTTGAATACCACTCATATATCAACAAATGCAACAAAATAAATGTAATTATATAGTTTTGTAGTTAGTTCCTGATGGAAATGGTTGTAATAATATTCCATAGATATTTTTTAATTCTAAATGTTGTTAAGTGACCAAAGCTGAAAACTTAAGATTGTGATATCCTTAATCCCGATTAGTTAATTAATTTGAGATTAATAATAAGAGGAGAACAAGCATTATTTAATCTTGAGATTTAGAAAAAGAGTGAATCAAGCATTAATCCCGATATCCACCATTCAAAAGTTCCCAGCTCATAGCTGAAAACCTTAGAATGGGATATCCTTAATCCCAAGTGGTAAATTAATCTGGAGATTAATAACAAGAGGAGAACAAGCCTTATTTAATCTGGAGATTAAGAAAAAGAGGAGATCAAGCATTGATCTCGATATCCACCATTCTAAGGTTTTCAGCTCTGAATATATCAAAATAATCCAAATTTGTTAGAAACCAATAAAATGTTTGTCTATTACAATTCTGTGGTGGTGTTTTGTAAAAACTAGGTTTAACCTTGAATAAAACAAAAAAAGAAATGTTGAAATTTGAAGAAAAAATTAAGTTTTCAGAAAATGGGCTGTCTGTAAACTTTACCCGGGAAACTAGAAGTGAATCAAGAGAAGGTAATTTTTTTCATCATCATTCAGGCATGGTGCATTGTGGATTCATTGATAATAATAATATTAATAATAATTATAATAATAAAAATAATAATAGTAATAATAATAATAACAATAATAATAATAATAATAATAATAATAATAATAATAATAATAATAATAATAATAATAATAATAATAATAATAATAATAATAATAATAATAATAATAATAATAATAATAATAATAATAATAATAATAATAATAATAATAATAATAATAATAATAATAATAATAATAATAATAATAATAATAATAATAATAATAATAATAATAATAATNTCATATTTTAAAAAATACGATTATTCCTGAGCTAGTATTATGTTTTAGGAAATATCGACCAAGAAGTTTGGATTGCAATTAATGTTTAATAGTTCTTTAACCTAAAGGAACTTTAAGGAGTGAAATCTAGAGACCTTTCATGCAGAAATGGCTTGATTCCCTTAAAAACTTTGCTGATCAAATATAAACTAGATATCAATATATTTATAATTATTAAGACTGTTTAATTTTGGTCGGGTTTTCTCAAAAGTGACTTGCGCGATGCGCATTTCTACTTCAGGGAAACATATATGAATTATCAGAATTAAAGACTGTTGAACCTAACATAAAAAGACCATAGTTTCCACATTATTGATCAGACCCTTTAAGACGCACTGCTGTGTTATTAACGTTCAAAAGTTTGAATTTTTTTCAAACTAAATTGAAATTAATTTAATTTGATTTTAATGGAATGTACTTTTTTATGTTTTTTTATAAAAAATTTGGTTAAAAATATTTATTGCTATTGTTATAGGCCAGCGGAAACATAAAACCTGAAACATGCAGGAAACCAGTCAGACCATTGATCCCGCCCCTTCAACTACCACGCCCCCTCTACCAACCCCTGCCACGCCCCTTGGTGAGGAGGAGGCGGGGGAGGAGGAGACTAGAGAGGTGGAAGACTTATGTCCCACCCACCTTAGCTCAGGATATGCTAGCTCTGACAGCAGTGGGGCTGGGGCGGGACAGGCGGCCACGCCTCTTCCTGCTGGAGATACTACACCACGCCCTATTCAGTCTGATCCCCAGCAATCTGCCTTTAGGCCCGCCCTACCGGCACAGGTAAAATGTGTCTTAATTTTGTCAAACTTTTGAAAATTGCACAAAATATTCGTTAATAATCCTCGAAATAATCTCGGAGAAAGTACAAAATGGCGAAATGCAATTTCAAGAGTTTGCAAGGACACAAAAATATTTGAATCTAAATGCATAAACTTTTCTGTAGCAACTATCATTATTGCATTATTGAGTAAATAAACGTTGTTCAAATTGTTTAAAAATGTTCATTTGTTAATCAAATATTATCGATTTTAAATGATTTTTTATATGTTTTCATAATGTCTAAAGCAAAATTAATTTTTAACCATGGTAACAGTAATAATTGTAAGATAGTAGTTGCCTGCAGTTTAAACCATCTAACCCCTCTGCGTTACATTTAAAATATATCAACAATATATTCTTTAGCAATATATAAACTTTGCTTGTTAGTCTTTCTGTTTGTATTAAATAAACGTCAAAAAAGCTGAACCGATCGACCCCAAATTTTTTGTGGCAACTCACATAACCCCAGGGAAGCTTTGTGGAAGGTTAAAGAGGAAAAATGTCGACAAATCTTAATTTTGTAAATGCGCAACTTCAACCAGAAAAATCCCCGAAACACGATTTATAAAGAAAAATGGCAGCTTGATCGAAGATTAACAGCTAAAATATTTACTAGAATTTTTTAAATGTTTTTGCTAGAATTTTACTACTTATATTATAAAAGTTCTCTTTTTGTTTACCCCCTTGTAACCCTTGCATGCACTGTGTTCTAGTGTAGTGATGTTCTTATCAACTCTTGAAGTATCCAGTTCAAATTATAAATCAAAACCTTGAAATCTAATTTTTCAGTTTGAACCCATTATTGAGAAAAATGAAACTAAAATTCAGGGTGCTACTTAACCATTCTTTAGGCTAAAAATTTAGAGTGCTACATAACCATTCTTAAAGCTATAAATCTAGAGTGTTACATAACCATTCTTAAAGCTATACATCTAGAGTGCTACATAACCATTCTTAAAGCTAAAAATTTAGAGTGCTACATAACCTTTCTTAAGGCTAAACATCTATAGTGCTACATAACCATTCTTAAAGCTAAAAATCTAGACTGCTACTTAACCATTCTTAAAGCTAAAAATCTACACTGCTACTGAACCATTCTTAAAGCTAAAAATTTAGAGTGCTACATAACCATTCTTAAGGCAACATCTATAGTGCTACATAACCATTCTTAAAGCTAAAAATTTAGAGTGCTACATAACCATTCTTAAAGCGAAACATCTAGAGTGCTACATGACTATTCTTAAAGCTAAACCAACAGGGTGCTACATAACCATTCTTAAAGCTAAACCACTAGGGTGCTACATAACCATTCTTAAAGCTAAACCACCAGGGTGCTACATAATTATTCTTAAAGCTAAACCACTAGGGTGCTACATAGCCATTCTTAAAGCTAAACCACTAGGGTGCTACATAACCATTCTTAAAGCTAAACATCTAGGGTGCTACATAACCATTCTTATAGCTAAACCACTAGGGTGCTACATAACCATTCTTAAATCTAAACCACTAGAGTGGTACATAACCATCCTTAAAGCTAAACCAATAGTGTGCTACATAACCATTCTTAAAGCTAAACCACTAGAGTGCTACATAACCATTCTTAAATCTAAACCACTAGGGTGCTACATAACCATTCTTAAAGGTAAAAATCATATTTTAGAATAAGATTGTAAACAGATTTTTTTCAGATGTATCAGGCAGTAGAATCCCAACCAGATTACCAGTACAGAAATGGTGGTATGGGAGGTATGAGTGGTATGGGAGGATTGGGAAATATGGGAGGTATGGGAGGCTGGGATACTGGAGAAGTTGGGTTTCTTGTTCCTCAACATATTCAACCACATCAGCAGATGCATCAACCTATACCTAGGCGTCCTATTACAGGGAACAGTTACAGTCACGCCCCCACCTATCCTCGGCCCACCCACTACCAAACCTCACCAGCTCCTGGCCCACCCCCTCAACCCCAGTTTATCAATAATAAACCATACGCATCCAGTTGGGGCAGCCCCAGTTGGTCGGGGTCAGGCCCACCTCCTGCTCCGCCTCCGATTTCAATGACTCCACCTCCAATTTCTTGGGGACAGCCTCCTGGACAGGCCAGGCGTCCACCTTGTATGGGAGGTGGCGGAGGGCGGAACAAACCTTTTGGGAACCTAGGATACGGCGGACAACAGGGAGGCGGAGCTTCTAAGCCACGTAGTAAGAATTATCCGTTTCCAGCCAGAGCAACCACAATAGGTGAGAATATCAGTAGAAGAACTTTTTATCGTTTTTATTCGTTTTTAAACATCAAATGTTTTCGGGAGGATCCAAAAATCTGATTTTTTGAAACAAATTATTATTTTCCCATAAAGTAATCTTTCCCGGGTCATAAAAATTGACGAAGATTTAGATATTAAGACAATTTTTATTTATTAAATAAATTGAAATCTTTACAAATTTTGTAATATCTCCGTTAGTTTTGAAGATAAACAAATGGTAGACCACATTTTGAAAATTTCAAGAATTAGTGTTTACGAAATTGGATGTTTAAACTGCAGAATACTGCAAAAATTGTGTTTATGAAAAAATGTCGCCTGGATCGAAAACGATACAAAAATCGTCACTTAATGCCCATGTTTATTGGGTCACCCTGTATCTTGTTAGCCCAAATTTTGTGTGGGACCTCACGTGGCCCCAGGGAAGGTTTATGAATGATCAAAATTTCAAATATTTGTCTCCATCAAAATTCGATTTTCATGAAATTGTTTGTTAAAATCTGCGAACTTTTTTGTTTGTTTTGTTTTACGATGTACACAAAGAGAACATGTTCACAACTAAAATAGAAGATGGGTGCGAAGCGCCCTAAAAGGCTTGTATTAATAAAAAGCAAATAGTTTAACTAGTAGCTTAAGTAACAACTTATTAAGTAAAATAGGTCTGTGTACACTGCACACTGTTCGATATCATAACATATCTATAAATACTGCTTATTCTTACACCATTTCATATTCGTCGTTCATCATAAATCAAAAACAATAACACAAAAAAATTTCGTAGATTTTTAATTTTTTTGTTTGTCAATTTCCTACTTTGAAGAATCGAATTAATTTCCTAAACCACCAAAATACATACCGTTTAAAGACTGTATCGACTAAATATATATATATATATATATATATATTATGGATCCGAAATTATATGTACAGCTGATTAAATCATGAAGCATGCAATCTAATCATCATTATAATAATTCATTACTTCTATTTTATGCATGCATTTTCTGTTTTTTCAGTGGATCAACGAATAATCAAAGATACATTTATTATGCCTCCAGGAATTTGACTTCAAAATGCATAAAAAAGGACTCAAATCCCCCCTCCCTTTACCCCCTTTTCAGCAGAATCTCCTTAAATTTCATATCAATCTATTCAGGGGTGTATTCAGAAATTTTTCCAGGGGGCTTAAATTTTCTCGTCTGGGCCTGAAAACCCCATGAAATCAATAGATTTTACTGGCCCATGGGGGCTTTGCCCCCATAGCCCCCCCCCCCAAAATACGCCCCTGAATCTATT